TGCATTTCAAAAAAGGTTAATAGGCTGTGGGTGCTAATACTGAAACAACGGGAAGGGGTTCACATCTTTTTTTGCGGGAACGCTTTCGGGAGCAAGGAGGCGGAGCATGTGTCATGTTTGGCTGACGAAGTAGATTCGGCGTGTTGACACTAACTGAGACAATGTTGGCGGCGCTGCAATCCAAAAGCGTCCTTTGGTACTTCAGTCTGCCCACGCATTTGTACCAGGAAGTTGGTGAGAGACCAAAGACGAATACAGATAAATTTCGCAGGTCGCAAAATATTGAGCAGCCTCGAGCATACCGCCTCCTAAACCGGTGAAGCGAGACCTAAGCAAGTATCCTCGATCCCGATTCCAGCTCGACCACGTTTACTATATGACTGCGCAGAGGCAGATATTTTGGTACTTGGCTCTCACGAGGGAGAGGGCTAAATAACATAGAAAGATGACGACTCATCCGAACATTTTCACTGTATACAGTCTCAGCAACACTCTAAGACCGTAAATTCTCACATAAACGGGCGAACCTAAATCCTTTTGGACAAAGCTGCTCACCTGACCACCCATGCTTACGCAACGGTGTATGTGGTAACGAAGGCACACATACCCCCCAAGATGAAGCCAAATTCAGCCGTCGCTGTTAACGGTCGGCTTCCCGAGTAACGAAGTACAGCGACATCTTCTCTGTGTCCGTTGCGGATCTCCAAGCCCCTGTGGCGCATAATTGATTATCTTCAGTTAGTGTTTACCAACCATCGCATGAATGTATGCAATCCTATTTTTCTCTCACTCGGCTATCATTCTCCCTTCAACCCGGGATCGAGCGATCATGTACCTCATTTACAGGGTGAGAGGCCGGCAAGGCTCATCCAGTCACCAGACTAAGAGCCCCACCAGCATAAAAACAGGCTGATTTGGGCAAACAGCAATAGGTCAACCTCCTGTTACGTCGCCTAACAGCCGGGTCTCAGCCTAACGCCATTTCGTGCAATCTAGCTGCAACCTGACAACCACATACCTTCATTAGCCTAGATCAATCAGGTTCTCGTTGCGGTTTTTGTTTTTTTCAAAACTTTTGAGACACACGGTATCTGTATTCGAATTTGGGATTCTTGGAAGCTGACCACCCTCATTTCCAAACATCTTCGCGCATTCACTCATATTTAATTTCCGCTACCAATTCAGTCTTCCACGAAACACGCGACAGCTGTCCCTGACGAACTTTCATAACAATCATATGACCTTCAGGAGCTGGTTTCCTGGGTTAAAGGTCTATGTCAACTCTGTTCACCAAAACCTTCATCCTATCCTACCTGATGCTCTTCAAAATAATTGCACTTGATCTTGATGAAAAGTTTCTAACATCATGGTTCATGCGTACACAACTTCAACAGACGGTCTGAGCGTATTTCCACGTCGTTCCACCTGAAGTATACATGTATGAGTCATCCACCCACGTACCTGCCCAAGGACTGAGGGCGGTACGTTGGAAATCGGTTTCGTTTTTCCCTCGTGCAAATTTGTGGACGAATTTTTCGTTTTTCAATCTATTCACAGAGTACACACGAGTAATGATAAAGTGGAGGTGGAGGTGCGATAATTCGAATTGGGAGAACATGACAAGTTTAGTCTCAAAAATATGGCGCAATCTGAGAACAAGCAAGCTCACTGGGTGCACTGTTGTAGAAAAGTTAAGTGCTGTGGTTAGGTTGGATGAGGACACAAAAGTGGTTGGATTCAAACGAGAAGTCCAACAGGTTGGAATGAATGCCGTGGTGGTGGTTTGGGTCAACGAATCGCATAGGCAAATGGGCTCGTTTGGGAGGAGGAATGGAACAGTTGCGGGTGTGCTATCAAACTGAGTATGGTAGTGCCGTGCCATCATTGGCCTGACATGCTTCAGTTTTTTGGACAGCCCCGTGATGGACGTCGCATTTGAGATCGTTCAGCTGGGGGTATGCAGTCCACTGAGCAGCGGTATTCATTTCAGCCTGGTCGAGGGATCAAGCTGGAACGAAACCAA